GAAATGAGTGTAGTGGGGATGCCGTGGATGGTGATGATGCGGTCGAAGAAGAGGCGACCAGTTGCTTCAGCAGTAGCCGTGGCGTTGGTCGGGATACTTTGTCCCATTTTAGAGAACTTATCGATCACCACGAATATAGCATCATGCCCTCGTGAGCTCGAAGGAAGCCCAGTGATGAAGTCCAGGCTAAAGACTTGCCATGGCTGCTCCGGTACGGGTAGAGGCTGAAGTAACCTTGCTTTTCCCTGCTTGCTACTCTTCATCCGCTGGCACGTGTCGCATAGGTGACGAACTGCTGCACGTCTGCTACCATCCGGGGCCAGTAGTAATACTTAGCCATCCCTGCTAACGTCTTGTTACTCTCGAAATGTCCCACGTATGCTATGTCATGAAACTCCTCCAGTAAGATCTGTCAGAGCGGGGCATAGTTCGGTACCCAAATCTTTCCTGAACCCTTCTTTACTGCTAAACCTTTCTCCCACTGTAAGAGCTTCTGTTTCTGTGTTTTAGCGATCTCTGCGTCCACGAAGTACCCATGTTGGAATAGACCCTTGAGCATAGGGTTCATCCCGTCGAGCTGGAGCCCTGCTACATGCCATGGGCGGCTCAGTGCGTCGGCCTTGTTGTGCAACCCTGGTTTGTAGACGATATCGTAGTGGAAGTGTGTTTCCAGGAAGTCCATCCACCGCACCTGTCGTCGTGAGAGCGTAGGCTATGACTTAAGGTATTTGAGACTGCAATGGTCAGTGTAGACTGTAGTTTTGTCTCCCTCTAGGTAGCACCTCCACGCCTTGAAGGCTGTGACTATCGCTAAAGCTTCCTTGTCATGGATTGGGTAATTCAGTTCTGCTCCGTGTAGCTTCTTACTGAGGTAGGCGATGGGCTGCAAACCGCGTCCGTGATCCTGCATCAGTACTGCTCCGACTGCCTGGTCACTAGCGTCTGCTTCCACCACGTAATCTCTGTCTGGATCTGGTAGGATGAGTACTGGCACTGTAGACAGTGCTGTCTGTAGCTGCTCCATGGCTTGTTGTTGAGGAGTATTTTATTTATAGGGCGTCAGTGCTGTCAGTGCTGTCAGTACTATCTTAGCGTACTGTGGCACGAACCTGTTGTAGTAGTTGGGGAAGCCTAGGAACGGCTGCAACTCCTTCACGTTCTCAGGAACTTTCCACTTCTTGACGGCCTCGATCTTCCGCGGGTCCACGTGTACGCCCTCCGCACTCACCATGTGCCCGAGAAACTGCACCTTCTTCAATGCGAAGTCGCTTTTCGACAGCTTCACGTAGAATTTGTTCTCCCGCAGGATCTCGAAGACTTTCCGCAGATGCTCCATGTGCTCCTTCATGTTTTTTTAGTAGATGAGAATGCCGTCCAGGTAGACTACTACGCACTCGTCCAGCAGGGGCCGTAGGATGTGATTCATCTCCGCCTCAAACGTTGCTGGTGCGTTGCAGAGTCCAAACGGCATCACTAAGTATTCGTAGGAGCCGTATCTGGTACGGAATGGCGTCTTGTGGACCGATTTGTCTGCCATCTTGATCTGCCAGTAACCCGACCGTAGGTTCAGCTTCGAAAACACCGTTGCACCACGCAGTTGGTCTAGAAGATCATCTATGTGTGGTATGGGGTATTTGTTCTTGACTGTCTGTTTGTTCAGTGCCCAGTAGTCGATGTACATCCGTAAACTACCGTCCGGCTTTGGAGTGAAGAGAACCGGTGCGCCGTAGGGAGAGGTGGATGGGCAGATCAGTTTTCTATCCAGAAGGTATTCTATCTGCTTCTGTCTGTCACTTCGGTCGGACTAAGGCGGTATGGTGCACGTGAGACGGATTTCGCGCCTGGTTCCTCCACGATCTCGTGTTCGTTGGTTCACGCTGGAGGCACTCCTGCAGGCAGGTCATCTGGCATGATATCCTGGTACTCCTCTAGCACCTCCTGTACTGCTGCAGGTAGCTCCGAGTTTGGCTTCTCCTCTGCTGCTACCATCAACAGTGCTAAGTAACCCGTGTTACTCTCGTTCACCGTCCGTTCGAACCGTCCAAGTGTCGCTTCAGGAACATCTCCTGTATCCGTCCAGCTTCGCAGCTCCACGCGTTTCCCATTGTTGTAGATGCAGGCCTTTCGGTTGACCCAATCTATCTCGGGGTTGAACCGCTTCAAAAAATCACGCCCCAAGATAAAATCTAATCCCTTGATGTTCGTGATCGGCAACGTCGGTTTTCACCTCAACGCACCTATGTGCAGCTGCAGTGTTGACTCGCCGTTGATGGGAAGCTTCGTACCATCCACCATCGCTGCTGTGAACTGGGTCTCCTCCAAGGACTCCTCAATTTTCTCCAACGTCCCGCGGTCGCACACCGAGTGGGACACTCCACTATCCACAATAGCCTGGAGGCATCGCCCTTTGCATAGCACCTCGAGCAGTAGTGGTTGTTGCCGCTCCGAGTAGCAGTACATGGTCTTGCTTATAGGATCAAAGGGTATATATAAATATCATTCCTAGATCGTACACCCGAAGCTCTAGACTCAATATCAGGTTTCACCTGAGTGGGGTCAGAAGGATTTATCTGAGGTCGATTGAGCTTCTCCTTGGCCTGGAACCTTCCCCTAAGCCTTTGCAGCTGTGTAGGCTTCACCTGTGGGGAACGGGGGAGCCTTGACACTGTGTTGCTAGGAGAGAATATTAACTCCTCGTAAGGCTCAACCCTTTTCAACGCTCCGGAGTTGGGTCCCCAACTTATCCGGTACCTGTACTATTTATAAAGGCATTTTCTTAGCCTCTAACTCTCCCTTGAAATTTTCAAAGGCTTTAAAACCACGAGAAGTAATATTCTTAGTTAAAGTATCTTTATAGGATAACTTAACGAATTCTTACTCTCGGGGGTGTTCGGCTCGAGTTCCCTGGTCGGTGCAAAGTCTTTTTTCGCGGAGTCTGCTTCGTCTCGGTGATTTCCCCTGGTGCCGGCCGGCCGTGAAGTTTTAAATTCGCGCCATCATATTCTCCTTTTTTCGCCCGCTCCGAAGTCGCCACATCGTCGCGCTTTTCCCTTTTCCGGATCTTTTCCCGATCACCAGGTCGATCCGCGACTACTGGCGATTCTTTTTTTTTTTACTTCGGGGGTGCCGTACTGTTCTTGCCCTGCAGCTCTGCACGTGCCTTCTTCATTTTCCAACACACCAAGAATCGATGTCATGCTGCGCCGCAAAACTCGCACATCTCGGATTTTGCTAGCCTCTGGTTTGCGTCAATCTTGTCGATATCCATCGGGCGGCGATCGTGGGGGGTGCTGATCGTTCCGTGCTGGAATTCTTGTTCGGCATGTTGTGTCGTGTTTCGTGTTGACCCCTGGTCAACGCATCGAACCTTTCTGCTGCGCAGACCATGTCGTGGTAGCTACTGTAGTTCGCTGCGATCACCTGTCGGTGGACTTCGTTTTTTAGTCCCTCCTTTGCCTTCGGTCAGGTCGTTGATCCTATTGAAGAGATTTTCCATCTGCTGCGTGTACTGCGCTACATTGCCGAATTGTCGGTGACGATGAATCTGCTATCGCGCCATGTAGGATGACTTTATCGGCTCGAAACGTTTGATGAGGGCTGCCCGAAACTGCGCCCACGAACCCTCGCCTCGGATTTCGCTGCTACTGTAGATCCATTCAAGTGCCGGGCCTCGCAACGGTGTGGCCGCGAGCCGAATCCGCATCGCGTCGTGTGTCGGGGTCGAACAGCCAACGGCCTCGAAATAAATTTCGAGGGTCGCGATGAATCTCCTGACGTCTGTGCCTTTTGCGCTCGGATCGAACGTCTCCGGTAGCCTCGGTCGTGCAGCCTCGAGACTCACCTTAGCGGGTGCCGCTGCTGCAGTTAGTGTCGGGAAAAAAAAAAAACCGGGCTGGGCCCGGTCCGGGTCGGGCCGGCCCGGAAATGCCCCGGGCCGGGCCTCAGATTTTGGCGCACGGCCCGGGGCGGGCCGGGCCGGCCCGACTCGACGCGCGGCCCGAGTCGGGCTGTTTGGGCCTGGTTTTGACCCCCGCGACAAGCTGCGCGACAATTTTGCAGCTCATATTTCCGTTTTGCCTCATGTAGCCTCTTCCCTCCCTTAGCGCAACAGATTTCGACTGTGGCTTACTCAAGTTAGTAGGTTAGTGGCCTAATCTCATAAAATAGCTAGAATGGTTGACGCCTAGGGCAACTTTGGCCTTCGCGTAATAATCGCGGCCCTTCCTAGTACACATTTTGCGACTGGTTTCCGAAGCGCAACATCACCCATTCTTAGGGTTTCAATTCAAAATTTAGATTTCAGAGAAAAATGACCGTTAGAATCGTAATGTTTCTTTAAGGGTTGAAGTACTAATACGTTTTGGGGTATTATTAGGGTTACATACAGCCCATTATTCACTTAGCCATTCAAAACAGAAACTACACCGCGCATTCTAAACTAATTTAAGTGTACTACCTTCAAATCGTTTTACCTTATGGCGCCTAAACTCGCCGCCGGCCCGCGGCGCGAATCCCTCAACTCACGACGGTGCACCGCTTTTCACCGGATTAGGGACGGGGCTAATCATGCTCCCGTCGCAGGATGAAGGCTTCCAAGTGCGGGGAGAGTTGCGTCAGGGGTTGAGATTGAATGTAGGAGGGGGGGGGGTGGTGGAAGGGAGGGAGGCGGCGGGGAGGAAGAAACCTCATCCTCTAGTTCTTCGAGTAGTGACTCGTTGGGAGAGGGAAGCGAGTCCCAGTATGAGGAGGAGGATGAGGGGGGTGGCGGGAACGAGGACGAGGAGATGGAGGAACTAGAGGAGGAGTCTCCAAGGGCGGGTTCACGCGGAAGGCGTGGTGGTGTCGGTGGGAAAAAGCGCAAGAGTAAGAAGGGGGGTAAAGGGAAGGCGGGTAAAGAGAAGGCGGCCAAAGAGGCGGGAGGGGTGCGGGAGGGTTAGGTGAAAAAGAGGCGGAAAGGTAAGGCTGGTGCAGAGACGTGGGTTAAGTACACCGTGGTGAAAATGTTCAGCGAGGAGGCGGCGGACAAGACGCGCAAATGCAAGTGTTGCCCTACACGGATCTCATTCAAGAAAAGCAGCACACGTTCAGGGGAGCGGCACTATAAGTCGAAGCACAACGCGCATTATGCCATTTGGAAGCGGATGTATGAGGGTGGCCTCGTCCCCTCTGATGCTACATTCCCTGAGGGCGGCTATCCCGGGGTGCCCCACTCTGGCGAGGAATGGCCATATGCGGAGGCGTACCCGAATGTCCCCCCTGGGGTTCTTGTGGGAGGGGGTGTCGGCGGGGGGCAGGGGACGATGGATCAGTTTATGGCGCCAAAGCTGGCGAAGGGGGAGCTGCGAGCCACCATTGTGAAGTTTGTGGTGATGACTGACAGCTCCTTCCTCGTCGTCGACAATGATGCGGGAAGGATTTTTGAGATCACTGTGCGCGTGCTTGCCTTAAACAAGCTCATGGTTTATGTTGTATGTAAGCACGATCTCCCCACACCACCCTACACCACAACCCAATACCTCCTTTTATCCTCCTGTGGCACACCTCTTTAAACACTTGCAACGTCCCACAGTTCAAGGAAATGCTCACTGTGGCCAACCCTCTCTGTGGGAAGCCAAATGTCATTCCATCGCGCTGGACGATTGCCCGTGACGTGACGAGGTACGCCGACATGGCACGGGCGTTGGCCATGGCTGAGCTGGAGCTGGAGGAGGAGGAGGTCTTGCCATTGTTCAGGGTGTGCTTCATCACTGACATATGGGCGTCAGAGGAACGGCGCGATTACATGGTCGTGACCGCGCACTGGATCTCGCGGGATTGGCAGCTGCGATAGGCCACCCTCGATTTCGGGGAGATGTCGGAGGGCCACACGGGGGCGGACATCGCGAAGCGGTTTGAAGAGGTGGTTCGAGCATGGGGGTTGGTGGGGCGTTGTCATGGTATCACCACCCACAACGCCTCGAACAACGAAGAGGCAATCAAGGAGCTGTCTAGTGATGATGACCGCTTTCCACTCATTGCCAGTGACATGTGGTTTAGGTAAGATGTGAACGGGCATGTGCATGTGTATGGAATGTGCATGGGCATGTGCATGGGCATGAGAATGTTTATGGTATGTGCATGGGCATATGCATGGGCATGAGCATGTCTATGGTATGTGCATGGGCATGAGAATGTATATGGTATGTGCATGGGCATGTGCATGGGGATGAGCATGTGTATGGTATGTGCATGGGCATAAGAATGTGTCCCCTATGTGCATGGGCATGTGCATGGGCATGTGCAAGGCGGCATGCCACTGTGTATCACCTCAACGTTGCCAAGTGTTTGACCCTTACGTTCCAAACAGGTGCATGGCGCATGCCCTGAACCTTGCAGACCAGAAAGCGCTAGGGGTAGAGACGGTGAAGGAGGCCCTGCAGCGCATACGCGACATGGCCACATTCGTTGGCCTCTCGCCTAAGCGCATGGTGCGATTCAGGAAGGAGCTGAAGGATTCCTATCCTTCATTGTGTGACCTTAAGCTGGTGCTGGATTGCGAGGTCCGCTGGGGGTCCACCTACGCCATGGTGGCACGAGCTCTTCGTCTTCGTCGGCCTTTGAGCGCGCACGTCGCGAACGAGCAGGTTAGTGTCGCCTGTCTGTGATCATAGGTGTTTTGCTTAGCACCGTTCACTCCCAAATTACGTGCACGGATATCAGCAACCATACATGTTCTTCTTTTCTGCTCCGCCAGCACCACAACTCCCCCCCCCCCCCCCCTCCCCCCCCCCCCTTCCTCCATCCACCCCTGTTAGTCTCCCTGCCATCCCTCCCCTTAACAACAAGGAACGACGCGTGTCGAGAAGGAGAAGTACGCTGCCCAGCGCATGACTGATGATCACTGGGCAGGACTGGTGGCGTTGAAGGGGTTCCTAGCGCCCTTCAACGCCATCACCAAGGCCGCTGAAGGGAGTGCGTACCCGACTATGACAACCATTGTGCCATACTACAACCTACTCCTCGACACACTGGAGAAGATTTTGACCGATGCCTCAAACCCCCCCTTAGCCCTCCTTCGTGATCTCGTTCAGGCAGCCCTGCCCGTCCTGCAGAAGAACTACGACAACAGCACTGATGAGCTGACGGTCGCCACCTTCCTCGACCCGGGCCTGAAGCTGGCGTACTTCACGATGGGAGTCGTACCAGAGCTTGCAGAGGTTGGCAGCGGCTAGTGTAGCACCACCCGCCCCTGCAGCGGTTGTGAGGGCGCCCTCTATGGGTATAGATGGGGAGGAGGAGGAGGACAAGGGCGTGCACTTCGCCAGCCGATCTAGCTTGCTTGCACGTGTTGCGGCTACCGTGGAGGGTGGGGGGGTGGCTGGGCCGGGGGGGGACGAGATCGAGAGGTACATGCTGGAGGGGCCTGTGCAGAATGTCCCCCCTCTTGAGTACAGGTGTGACAAGCGCGACATGCCCGTTCTCAAGGCAATGGCCTTCAACTACCTTGCCATTCGAGCTTCGTCTGCTACCAACGAGCGTGTGTTTTCGGCGAGCAGGAACCTCATCAAATGGCAGCGCCACAGGTTGAGCGATGAGAGAATTTGCGATGCCATGACTTTGCGCTCCTTCTTCGCGAGTCACCCAGGAGTTTCATTGGAGGTGGCGTCAGGCACATGCCGTGCCATTGGGGCACCGCCTGCCATTGAGGATATTGGAGTGGAGGGAGAGGGGCCGGCGTAAATGTAGGGCCCTGCTTGTTTTGTGCAGCCATGGTGGTGGTACTTGTGACGTTTTCAGGGTGTGCTACCGGTGTTTTTTTTTACATAGTTTGTTTACATTCATGTATGACTCGGTTTTCTTGTGACTGCATATGGTGCTACAGGATTTAGGAGTATAAAAGTAGTAGCACATTGATATGACAACGATACACACTTGTTTGACGCACAAAGATGTTAGGATTAAGGACGAAGTCTACGTAGATTAAGGGCTGAAATATCTCAAAATCGTTGGACTATATTTCTGGACAGAAATGTCGACTTCACATGAAACGCCGTCTACGAACATTGCACCGTTAGAACTTCACAAATTTCAGATATGTTGTAGCTCTAGACCGTGACTACACTTCCCAATTTGAATCGTATCAATAGGTGAAGTAAAACTGGAGTTATGAATTTCGGCGCACTAGCGGGTATGCTGGAGCTTAGACTTAACTCAATCACAATAGTTCTCCCAAGATCCACACAAGAGAATTAGAGTAGCAAGAACCAGGTAGGAGAGGATGAGGAGGACGAGAGAGAAGGTGCCCAGGGAGTCCCCAACCAAGGAAACCCCATAAGCACACAATTTCCCCTCCCTATAGGAACCCAACTTTGACCCTTCATTTTCCCAACCTCCCAAATCCACCTCACCCAACTTGGCCACACTTGCCAACCTGGTTTGGCATCTCCCAACCACTTGGCATCATCTACAGTAGTTGTGACGAATTTCCCCAACCCCCAAAAGTCTATACCCCATATAGAGTCACTCCACAAATTCCCATAGTCGCCGCACCACAACCATAACTTAGAACGATCATAACTTTCTCGTTCGTGCTCCGATCGCGACGAATCTTGGTTCGTCGGAAAGCTCTTGACCAGAGAAGTCATTTTAGATATCTGCTCAAGAAAAATAATATTCACACACACTCACAACATCCAAACCATGCCAAACATAAATTCTTACGCACGCGCATACCACGCATGCAAAGTAGCCGGCATATTTCTTCACGAATCGGCTGGCAGGGGAACCTCACTGTCGTTGTGCGAAGCTGTGTGGCATGAGTCTTAACTAGACTCACGCAAAGGGAGTGCAAGCAGGCGACTACTTGAGGGGGAGTTTTGTTGGGTGCAAAATACTATTTCTACACATCAACCAGCCGCCTGCATAGCATCATGCATTTTGTGTGTGTTCTGTGTGCATTCGTTTTTTGCATTTTCTTTGGTGTGTTTTTGTTGTGGGTTCATGACCAGTCATCACGGATCATGACGAGACATGAACGTTCATGTCGGCTCATGTACGTTCATGTTTTTTCATGAACGAACATGTGCGTTCATGAAAGTTCCGAGCTTCATGAAAGCTCATGTTTTTTCATGAGCGTTGGTTGTGATTGTCGAGTGTGTTGGGTGTGGGGCTCGAGTCTTTAACCAGCTCCGTTGACCATTTCGCACTGGTCAAGTAAAAAGTGCGCGAAGTCAGGACCCACGCGTGGGGTACTGACATGCGCATGTGGCCTCACAGGGCCCACGCGTGTGCCGCTACTGTTTCGATCGTGCATTGTGCGCACGATCGCTACAGGACGGAGCGACATGATCGCTCCGTCAGGTGGAGGACAACGCATGATCGTGTCAGCGATTGTTTTGTCCTGCACGACCGAGAAATATCTCGGTCGTGATGAAGGGCACGTGGGGCACTCGGGATTTCACAGTTGACTAACGGGATTTCGCGTTGACTTGGCGTGCAAGAAAGTTCGCCAGAAAGCTGCGCTGCTTTGCGTCATTATTTCGAGAGAGGTACAAAATGGTAAAGTCTGTTTTGTAACGGAAAACGGGAAACCCACACGAGTGTTCATGATTTGTACACGAGCAATCATGAATGTTCATGAGGGGAGTCAACAGGAGAATTTGGCAGCAGTGCAGTTTGAAAATAATTATTCTACATAGGCAAATCAAGCCAAATTCAAGAGCAGTTTAAAAACCGTTTTCAATTATGATATATGTGTGTTTGTATTCGTTTGAGCCAAGAATAATGCCCTTTTGATTTTCAAGCTTACATTCTACAACTACGTATTGACGAGAGTAGAAACGTAACGTGTGACTGCCAAAATTCTGCTCGACCAAAATGCTCACTCTACAAGCTAAGTTGAGCATAACTACTCACTTGTTCTTCTACGCCCTTGGCTATGAGGTGACATGCTGTTACACTCGGGGGGTCACAAGTGATGTTAAGTGTTCCCTAGCTTATGCTTGTGATATGAGATTAATCGCTTTCGCATAGTACTTAGAGTCAATAGTTGGACCACCCTGAGTTGCATCACTTGCTTTGTTATTTCTTGTTGACTAGTCTTGTGACCGTTTGTCTTTGTGGTTGGACTAGTTGAGCCGCCCTGCGTTATTGCTTGTCCTGCTCGTGCGATGCCCCTCACCTAACCTATGGGGGTGTGTCAAGTTATAAAAGTTAGCTATATGCTAGGTTCAAATATGCTGTACTTAGTACAACACATTTGCATGCTAGGTTTTCTGCTTGTACTCTTGCATGCCGTCATAATCACCATTATTGTTCACTTCATTGTCTAACATCCTTCCTACCCCAAAATGTATAGATAAAAAATTGTGGGCCACCTGAGCCAGTAAATCGTGAAGCAGTCGGCAGGAGCGTAACCAAACCCAGTCAATCCCATCCTTTAGGTAATAGATGCACTGCTTCGTTGTTGGGGATAAATCGCGGATGTATTTCATAAATCATAAAAAACTCTAAAGCTCTTTGATATTTGGATGTGCCTTGTGCTCTTGTTTACGTAGTGAGGTACTTCTGTCATGATCGTGGCCATCGAAGCCGGCAAGGAGGCACGCCGACTTCGGTTCCTCCTCGCCGAGTTCCAGATTTTCGAGGCTGGGAAGCCAACCATGCTGCACGTGGACAACCAATCGGGCATCACGGTCGCTAAGGGCTTGGGGTTTAGATGCAACCTCAAGCACATGGAGCGACGCTACACCTCCTTGCAGGAGATGGTGAAGCGCAGGAAGCTTGCTCTGCAGTACATCCCGACCAGCGAGCAGCCGGTGGATTTCTCTTCATTTTCCGGCTTTCAACCGGTGCTCCGTCGTAGTCGACCACATTCGTCTTGCCGAAGTCGGCAACGACGACGTGCAGAAGTAGGCGCCATGTCCTTCAACATGGCTGGTGCGGTGGACGGCGTGCTGCGTGTGGAGAGTCACTCTACAACAGTAGTGAGCTAGACTACGGGGGTTGGCACGAACTACTAGGAGTGATCGTAGCTTTGCTTAGTTCCTTAGTGCTTGCACATTCACGGGAGAAATCGGCAAGAGCTTCCACTAGCAAAGTCGAAATTACAGAATGATTGCACAAGCAATGACAAAATTGGCTACATCAGGCACGTAGCAACTCTGCAGCTAGCCTGGTCGACCGCCAGCACAGCTTGGTCGACCGCCTGCCAGCATTGCGTAGAAAAGCCACGCCAGCACTGCAGAAGGGCGACCTGCCAACACTGCAGGTCGACATCGTGCCAACGCTGCAGCAAAGTGGCTGTCCAGCGTTGCCCTGTAGAAGACAGCAGTGCGCACGCTCGCAGGTGCGCGCAGACGATTGGCCCGACTTGCACCGTTGTGCATCCGTCGGCTGTTGTCTTCGCCTGACGAGCCACATCGACTTCGGGATACCAACTCGAAGTCGCCTTCGCCATCGCGACCTTGACGACATTCGCGTGCCTCCACAGAACTCGTCGAGCAGGTTACCCGGTCGACCTGGTCGACCACCAAGTGCTCTGGTCGACCACCACTGCCTCTGGTCGACCACTAGGAGCCTTTGGTCGACCTCCTGGTGCCTCTGGTCGACCACAACTCCTGTCGAGCTACCCCTTGGTCGACGGACCCCTTCCGTTGACCAGAACTGTCAGCTGTTGTCGCCGAGCTCCCCTCATCGACCACTGCTCACTTGTCAGGTCGACGGACTGCTCCGTCGGCCTCCCGGTCGAACTGCCCCTCGTGGTCGACGGCCCACCCGTCGCCCAGCCCAGTCAGCTGCAGCTGTCGAGCTCCTTGGTCGACAGCTACACCACAGTGGTCCCCTGCAGCTCGACGAAGTCCGTCGAGCAGCTCTCCCACTGTGAACGGTCGGCTGCTTCTCCCGTACATCCGACCAAGTCGTCGGCGTTGCCCAAGCGAGGGTGGGGCCAACACTCCTCTCCCGTTAACACTCCCGTGCTGCGCTCACGCTTGGGCCTCCAGCCCACACGGCAGTACTCCACGGAGAAAAACTCGTCCTCGGCGTGCACCCCACACACAGCACGCCGTCACCGCACCAGCCGTGCAGAAGGGCATGGCACCTACTGCTGCACATCATCGTCCCCGTCACCGATGCTGGCCAGACGCACTTGGCCGATGGCGACAAAACACCGGTTGAAAGCCGGAAAACGCAGCACCTTCGTCAGGAAGTCTGCCGGCTGCTCGGTGGTCGGGATGTACTTGAGCGTGAACTTTCGGCGCCTCACCATGTGCTGCACCCAAGCGTAGCATCGCTCCATATGCTTGAGGTTGCCCGTCAGCCCCAAGCCGTCAGCGACCGTGATTGCCGACTTGTTGTCCACTCGGAGGACAGTCGGCCTCCCAGCATCGAGCTGCTTGAATTCTGCAAGGAGGAAGCGAAGTCGACGCCCCTCCTTGCCGGAGTCCGTGGCCGCGACGTACTCCGACTCGGTCGAGGAGAGCGTCTCGCACTTGATGCGCGAGCTCGACTAGGAGACAGCGGCCCCTCCGTAGACGAACACGTAGCCGCCCGTGCTCGTCCGTTTCTGCTTGTCGCCCGCGTCGTTGGCATCCACATAGCCGATCAGATCCAGCGACTCTGGTCCTCCACCGAACTCCAGGGCGGTGTCGCGGGTGTCAGCGAGGTAGGCGAGGCAGCGGTCGACCTCGGGCCAATGATGATCGCTCCTCACCATGAGGCCGCTCCCCAGCTTGCTGCAG